TATATATATATATATATATGAATAGCTTAAACTATTAATATGCCACAACTAACATCCCAAAACACTTCAACGTGATTTCAAAGTCACGGCGCAACATTGAATAGTAAATTGGAAATAGGCAGAGGTTCTCTGTACTCCAAAAGCCACAGCTGTGAATGTTGTGTGTTTTTTATTTTTCAAAGGTGACTTAAGCAGTTTTGATATTAGGCTGAACTAATGCTGGCCGTTGAATGCAAAATTTGCCCCACCTTTTATTTTTAAACACCCGGTGGGTGAGCAGAAGCCTCACGAGATTCGCTGTCACTTAAAATGATAAATTGAAGTCCAAATTGTTAGATACATTATTAATGCACCCAATCAATGTTGTCGTTAAAAACAATAATTGCCAACATGTCAGTTGGTTATTTGATTTTTGTGACTGGTTGTGTAAATGTGATCTCCCCTGTCTCCATTTGTCCAATGAGGACTCTTCGTGAGAAGACCACGTTGGCAGTGACCTCCAAAGGGCGCTTTGGCACAGAGGAGGAGCGAGCTCCGGGAGGAACCTCCACAAGGAGGCGATTGTCAGCTCGAAGCTTGGCGACGATCACCGTCAGTGGGCATGAGTCGGTCATGGTGCAGGCCCTCAGGATAGAAGAGCAACAGAGGGCCAAAGAGGAAAAGAGGTATGCAGATTTCAGCCCCTCTTAGACGAGTCAACAAATTTTTCATTTTTTTTTTTAATCAAATATGGAAGTTAACTTTTTAAAATGCATCCAGTGTGAAATGATGAGTTACCCGTCTTAAGAGTATTTTGGGGATAAAAGCTGTCATTTGTCCTTTTTTTTTTGTACAGTGCTACCAAACAATACAAAACATTGACATACTAAAAGTTCAGCATTGGTTTTACAAGTAATTGTAATCTTGGTACCTTCTGCCATCTAGTGGAAGAGTTTTTAATCGTTCTGTCTGTCGCGCTATATCCCTAAAATAGATAGATTAACGTAGACCTCAATTTGTAGTAACTAAATAATTTTTTGATAATATCCCGTGGCACTGTGGGTGGGAAGTCACTGGTCAACTTGCATGTATTTCTGTTCTTTAATGTCTGTGGAAGTCAACAAACCATTGTTATTTTTCCAGGCAACGTGAGCTGGAGAAAAGAGAAGCGGAAGAAATGTCGGCCAAGGCCGTGGAAGAGTGGGAGCAGACTTTGCTTTCGCAGGCATCCCCCAATGCCGTTGACATCCTGTGGGAGCTCCCCGCCATCGGCCACTTTCTATGCCTGGCCCAGACGGTGCTCAACCTTCCAGAGATTGTCTTCTTCGAGCTGGAGCGCTGCCTGCTGATGCCCCGATGCAGCAGTCTCCTCTCCAAAATAATGTCATCCCTCCTGTCTCCATTGCAGCGGCGGGCCACCTTGCACCGCCGTCCGGCTCTGCCGTACCGCCGCTGGGAGGCGGAGCTCAGGCTGCGCGTCAAGGCCTGGTACCGCAGTGTCGGGGGTGCCCGTGATCAACCAGCTCGGGCTGAGCAACTTGGACTTTGTCACCAGTTTTTCCGCATATTGGGCGAGACGAGTCCCTTGGAGGAGAAGCCGTTTCACTTGCTGCCCTTCTGCCAGCGGGTGTGGCTTCTCAAGGGCTTGTGTGACCACGTGTACGAGACACAGAAGGACGTTCAGGATGCTGTGCTGGCCCAGCCCATTCACGAATGTAGGGAGTCCATTTTGGGCTACGACAGCAAGGACAACGCCTACATCCATTTCCCCCATTTCTGCGGGGCAGACTTGAGGATCTACTGCCAGAGCCCCAGCACACCGCCTGCTTTTCCTTTCCCTTCAGCATTGGTGAGGCGGGCTTATCTAAATACTGAAGATTCTGACGTCCTGAAACACGAGGAGGGACATGTTGGAAGCGCAATGCACACTGACATCTCTGATGGTTTGGAGAAGACACTGAAGTATTTTATAAAGGAAAATGGGGATAGACAGGAACATGAAGAAAGGTTCAGGTTTTGGCCCATGAAGAAAAAAGAAGAGTCAGGGTCATCGGAGGGAGACTCCAGTGATGAGTTAAGCCGAAGTAGTCGCACTAGCCACTTTGTCTCAAGAAAACCCACAAAACCAGAAACTGTCGAATCGGACGATCGATCCGCAACATTCGAAGATGGCCACTCCTTGGGTTGTGTACGTCCCATAAAAGAAGAGACTCAGAATCCTTGTCTGAATGTAGGGGAACACACCTACACGGGTAGGTCACCGGCTCGCTCTGCGGACACCACATATTCACCGATCAAAGCTTCGGGAATCAAAATGGAGGAAGGAAACCTGAGCACGGGACACCACCAAATAGCTCCCTGTTTGAAATGTAGCCAAACTGTCAAATCATTACAGCGAGGCTGCCGCTGCCCGCTTATCCACCTTGCGCAAAACTCCAGCGATGAAGAGGATGTCGCCGGCATAACGTGGTCTAAAAAAGAGAAGTGCAAGAAAAAGCGAGGAAGGAGGCAGCCACAGCAGGTGGAAAACGTTGAGGCAGCTGAATCGGCATTACCGGGAGTTTCCACAAGCATTCCGAGGAAAGATAAAAGGAAGAAACAGAAAAAACGTAAGAAAAGGATTGTTGTTCTTCAGTTCCATCGTAAATGCATAATTTTCTAAAATGCTTGCTAAGTGTACAAAACTACCGGTACCCCAATTATGTTTCTTTTCGCGCTGTATAGAAGAATCTGCAGGTTTTTGACTTCATCCTGTGATTTCACTTTTTCAGGAAAAAAAGTTGACTCTGCAAAGAAAATCAATGAGCCTTCTGTTGAGCCATCGTTTAAGGTAGTTGCACACAATAAATGACTTTTACTGATTGTTTAGTACTTTAGAGGATCAACTGCACCGATAATCATGTGGCTGTTTTTTTTTTTTTTTTTTTTTGTCTACTCCTCTTTCCTAATCTTCCTCCGCAGTTGGTTTGCACCAGTCTGCAAGAGTTGCGAGAGCTTATCAGCAGAATAGAGGACGAGCTTGACGACCTGGAGAGCACGAAAAATAAATTGGTAGCTGACCAAGTGCTCAGTTGTTCTTGCTTGCTGTGAGGAAAATAATGATATGGATCTATTTTTTTTTTTTTTTGCCTTTCAACTGGCAGGATCGATGGTATTTACGAAAAGAAGCTGTGAAAGAGCTCCACGGCACTCTAATCAGACTACTGAATGAGCTATCACCCTGGGAACCAAAACTTGTGAAGGCCTACCAAAGAAACAGGTACAGTTAAGTTTTACGCAGACCTGCAGTTTTGCCTCGAATCAGCAGCAAATATCTTCCTCCACCTTTGCCTTCTCTCCAGGCTTCGACTGAAGAAGGAGTTTGACGATTTCAAGAAGCATCCAGACTACAACAACTTTGTGCGAGAGGAGTGCGTATCATCGTCATCCTCGTCGTCATCCGAAGATGCAGAAACCGCGCTGTTGGATCGCCAACGAGGATCAGAGGATGAACTGGAATACCTGCTTCCAAGAGGTCTTTGGACTGGAGGTAATCTCTATCGCGTTGGATCTGGCGTGCATCATAATTGATCAAGTTTATTGAACACAATCAGTCTGAACATTGAAATAAACCGCATTCTTAATCGTCTTATTGACCACTTCCTCTCATTTCTGCCTTTGATTTATTTCAGCAAGCACCGGGGACTTTGAAACTGAATCTGTCGGTGAGAGGTCACCAGCCTTTGTAATCCAGAAAAAACATCCAGAAACTGTTGAACAACTGTCAAGAGTTCAGGCCGACAGCAGCACCGCCGCCACTTTCGCCCCGGACGCTGGTGCGAAGTCTAAATGTGAAATGATTCAGTCCAACACGGACTGGGATGCGGGAAAGGCGGTCCATGCTTCATTGACATCCGCACTTCACATTGTCAAACCGACTCCTGGACTGCCCAAAGGCTATACGCCCATTCCCACCCTCCTTGCGAAGAGCGTCGGTAACAAAGTGACCTTAATGAAACGGCCTGTTGATTTCTCAGGGCTTCACAACACCGATAGACAAAGTGAGGGATGTTCAAGCTCCCCGCCTACGTCTACCGCGGGGAGCGCAAACCCACAATCACAAACGACTCGCCCCATTTCACAACACAACTCACTGGAGACAGAAGGCGAACGCGCAGTTGGACGAACCGGAACGGTCAAAGTGGCAACAGCTCCTCTTACAACGGATCGGGCGAAAGCAAGCCAGATTTCATTGCCGAGTCCTCTCCACGTGGTCTCGACTGTTCCAGGAGGGCGGGATCAATCTGTCAGGAAAGGGGAACGCAATCCAGCTGAGAAGCCTGAGCAATCTCTTCATGACTACAGTAGGCCGGAGAATATGATGCAGCAGGTGGTGATTGCACCTTCCAAGCGTGTCATTCACCAGTCCAAGGAGCAAAAATCGACGGGACCCATGTACTTGTCCACAAATGTACCTGGCTTTACCATTCCCGACACTGTTCAGCAAGTGACTCCTCTGAAGGATGCTTGGACAGTAAAGACCCCTTCCGTTTCTTCCCCGCCTTGCCAGCAGCACGGGACCCGAAACACCCTCGGGTTCCAGGTGACACATCCATCTCAACCAATCACTTCACACAACACTCATCCAAACCCTTCATCCGTCATATCGACAACCATTTTGCCCTCTTCTCTGCCACCTCCACTTCCCGAACACAAGCAGGAACTGAAGACGGTCTGCATACGCGACTCGCAGTCCATCCTCGTGACGACGAGAGGAGGCAACACGGGCATTGTCAAAGTGCAGACGTCGTCCGCCCAGAATGCACTTGATGGTTTGTCCGCCGGTCCCGTCATCACCATTTCACCTCAGTTTAAGGCGTTCCTCGTGTCCAAGAGTGCAGAGGCCTCTTCGATCCCCTGTCAGAAGATTCCTTCTCCCGCTGCTGCAACTGTGGCCAGTGTCTCAGTAGCGCAACCTCAAACGCAGATTTCTTCAGTCTCACAGTCCTCTGCCATCGCAAATACGACAGGCCCGAGAAGTTTGACTTCAGTCACGCCCGTCTCCTCGGTGAGAGGACCCCACAAATCTGATGGCTCGACAGTTACAAGAAACATTTTCCACCCTTTGCAGACGTCAACAAACAGTCGTACCGTGGATGTTCTTGCACAAGCCGAGGTCGTCGGTCAGCCCGCTTTGAAGCGGCCCAACACGGAGGAGCAACCCAAAGTTACGAAATTCATCCTGGTTAATCCCTCCTCCTCCTGTGCCTCTGCCGTAGCTGTTCCAAAAGAGGCATCTACAAATCCGACTCTTGCTCCAAAAGTGGTCGTCCTCAACCAATCCTCCGAAACGGTGTCCGGCGCTTTAGCGGGACGTGCCGCAAATCAGGCCGCGACAACAGGCCTGAAAGCACAACGGATAACGACGTCGTCATCAAGTCAATCTCTGAAGACGGGATTCAACCCAGGTTTTGACTCAAATGCACCGTCCAAGGGAAAGAACATCACCCTTCCAACAGGTGGGTTTCATTCATGTAATGCGCCGATTGTTTTCCTCTTTGTCTCCTGATTGTCAAATGTGATCTCGACTGGAATCTGCACAGTAACAGCTCGTCCACCACAGGAGTGTCTGACTTGATTCGTGAACCTCAATCTTGTGTGTCTTCAGGTCTCCAGATCCAGTTGTCAGGGATGACAACAACTATCGGACAGACCATCGGTGCCCTGTCACGTTGCATTTCCAAAAGCACGCCCGGATCAATCTCGGATCCAGGACGTTCACTAGCAACCGCCACTCAATCGGCTCCATTCACAAAGCCAAAAACTGTCACCAGCTGTCTTAGCCAGCTTGTCGCCAACGCGACTCTGACCAGAACCTCTCAACCGCAGTCTTTCACAATAGCCTCCCATCTAGGCTCTTTCATTTCGACGACCGCTCCTCATCCTGCAGCGAGTCTGCCCTCCGATATCTTGGCCAGCCACTCAACCGTGACCTCAACCGTGCAGGGCGATCCGAACCCAACCTCTATGACCGCGCTTGCTCATCAGCCCTCGCATGCGCTAGCTAACGAAGCGACCCAAATGATCTCTCCTCTTCACATAGCTCTCAATAAAAGCCAATCGCAAATTTCCTCAGCAAACGCCAACAGTACACAATCCATGAGCCCTGCCACCGGGGCTAACAATACCCAGCAGAGGATCGTCATCAACACCTCGAAGCCCCTTGCCGCTGGCACACAGATCCTCTTCAACAACACCTATTTTGTCGTTCCTCCCCAAGGCTTAGGTCCAGGTAGCCATGTGCTCATCATCTCCAGCCCTCCTCCACAGAAAGTGCCTAATGCCACCATGAGCAGCATTGGATCGGCGACACCTTTGCAAGGAGCAAGCCAGGGTCCAACGACCCCTCAAGGACCAATTTTACCCAAATCGCAAGTCAGGTTGCCTGGTGTCCCAGTCGTGAATTCCCCTTTTGCAGCATGCACACCGGCTGTTGTTCCAGTAAACGTCCAGGGATCCGCACAATTACCACCAAACGTAAGTCTTTTATCTGCGCCGAGCTCACAGCTTTGTGCCTCTTCGTCACCTGCGCTAACCAGCCCGCCTCAGTTCGTCAACCGAGTAGCCCACCTTTCGTCAGTCATAACCGGCGGCATCGGTGTTGCTTCTTCACCCGCGCCACTTGGTGCCGAATCTTCCGCCGCCATTTCCCATGCAAACGCATCCGCGTTCCCTCGATTGCCTGCTCCTTTATCATCTTCGCCCAGCCCCGCGGCCCCTCCCCGCTCCCTCCCAGACACAACTAGGGACTCGTGCATGCAGCCGCCCCCTCCATCTGGAGTTACGGCACCCTCTATTACGCATCAGGGCCTTGGCATCACCTTGGTCTGTAAACAGGCGCCGTCAGTCATTCATAAAATGTTCACAGGCTCATTCATGCCAACCATCCAGAACCTGCCCACCTCAACAGTTAGACCAATCCAAAGCACCACGGATGCTTTGGAAAGGGCATGTACGGTTCCCTTATCTCCACCCACCACTACGTTTCAACCAGTCACGCTGCTTAGCACAAACCCCATCCACCAGCCCATCGGCCTGACCAATCAGGCAGCGGTCAAGCCCTCTCTGCAGAAATCCCCGTTAGGTATGGCTAACAGTGGAGCAAACAACCTGCTTATCAGTCCGGACGGTGCCATTTTGAGCTCGGTCCAGGGCCAGGCCAAACCAGCTGAGCCGAACGCGTACCCCAAACAGAGTGCGCTGATTCGCACCCCCAACAGTTCCGGCGGCGCTTGGCGTCACCAGCTGACACCAAGTCAACCAAATAACTGAGACCATGAGTTTGAAATGGTTATGTTCTTGTTATTCAAACTGTTATCCAGTTGTTAAAAAAAAAGTAGGGTCAGACCCTCTGTTTAGACTATCAAATACTGTTCAAGACTATTATGATGTTTTTTTTTTTTGTTGTTGTCTTATTTGATAACTACTGAGGTTAATGAACCATCTGTGTTTTGGACTTCATGGCCAGTAATGACAACTGGGGGGAAAGGAGGTTAAACGGATTTCATCTTTTATTGTAGTTAGTGCTTTTAAAAAGCCAGCTCTTTGATGAGGTTCATTGGTACAACTTGTCACTACTTTCAATGTTTCATAGAACATCACACTTCTGCCTCTTTGTACGAGTTTGAAAAACTGTTTTACATTGTAGGAAATGTAAATAGACCTTGTTGGATTTGTACTATGTTTGAGCCCATGTAAAATGTTTTGCAGTCACTTTGTATTTATTTTCTACCGTATCGGTTTTCGGCAACTCTTTGCCAAGGTTCATGGAACACATGCGGAGTTACAAAGCGTGGAAATAAACAATGCATCTGTGCCCATTGGGTTTCTGGGGTTCTTCGTTCTACAAAGACACCTTGCCGTCGTGTTTTTAATCCTTCTTTGAAAGCACATTGTACATTGTGTAAATGTTCGACGCACAATATTGATCAACTGATGTATTCACGGCGGGATTGATGGTGATGTCAGACAACATGTGCTGTGGTTTCCTTTATTCTTGAGTGGCCGTCTGTCCTCTGTTGTCCTGTCTTTAAGGTGAATAGGGAGGAGGTAGCGGCCCCGAGGAGATCTTTTCATAGGCTGGAGGAGCATTCGGCATCTGGAGAAGTCAACGGCAAGCAATGTGTAATGTATATGAAACTTGTCCCCACATTCATGACAGTAGTTAACTCACCACAGATCGCAGGCTGCCAAAATCCGTGAGCGCCATCTTGTTGTCGGCGGAAGGTCGAGTCTCTGAGTATTGGACTCCCGTGTAAGTCAGCGACCCGGATCCGGGGCTCTGCATGAGGACAGTGTTAAGAACGCTCACCGGACACTTGCATAGGTACACGTGCACTGTCTTGAGACTTTATTTTTAACCTACAAATGAACATTTAACCTGCATAAAACAAGGACGTGTATTTAAACCAAACACACACGCTTTCGGCCGCGTATGCAAAAACAGAAAGCACAACTAACCCGCAACTGATATTTGAACTCAACCAGTTCAAGCAATACATAAAGACCACATGAGAAGGTTTTTGATCATCACAATGAAGGCCTCACCCTGATTTTTTTGTAGCCGCCCCTCTTCTTAAAGTACCAACAGCCCACCAGGACAAGGGCAACCAGGATGATGACCAGCAGCACAACACCCACTGCCCTGTACAAAAAAAATTTGAAATACTGCAATACAGTCACAATTTTGTCTTGATTTGCTCACTGCCTGTTCAGTCTAAAACAAAGCTGTTATTTTAAAATCTGAACGGCCACCGAGGCCACCTAGTGGAAAATTGTTGTTTAATTGTTCTGCCTGTCAATATATGCTGCTGGCATTGATAGATGAGCAAAGACATTTTGTTTGGAGTAAATTTTGGACCATCCATCCATCCAATTTCCAATCTGCTTTATCCTCACATGGGTCGCAGCCATGCATGTTTTGGAATGTGGGAGGAAACCGGAGTACCCGGAGAAAACCCACGCAGGCCTGTGGAAGGCCGCAGCCGGGATCAAACCCACGACCTCTGCACTGTGAGGTCGGCGTGCTAACCACTGGTCCACCGGGCCACCCCAATTTTCTTTCGGGACCAATTAAATGAAATTGGATAATTCCCCACCGCACACCTGACGGCCTCTCACGGAACACTAATGTGCTCAGTAGTTGGGAATCACTGAGATACAACATGTAGTCAGCCACGAGGTTTGGTAATGTTGGCAAATTATGATTTTTAGAGGCTGCAGACTGAAGCAAAAATGCTTGCATTAAGTCGGACATACTCCTCAGCTCTGACAAATCCACGTCGGCTGCTGGCAAAATAGATGTTGAAGTCTCCTCGGGGCATCCCGTCTGTGTTGTTGCAACGCATTAAGCTGTGGGCACAGACGGAAGACACAAGTCACTTCATCTCGCCATTTTAGCAGATTCAAGCGCTTAACTAAATTATTCAAATGAGGGTGAAGTAACACATAGCCGTGTCAACTCTCCCACTGAGACATCTTCTGCATCGCTGGGTCTGGTGTATCGCATCTTCCTCTTCACAATAGCCCATATATTTTCTGTGGGGTTAAGGTCGGGTGACTTTGCTGGACAGTCGAGAACAGGAATATCATGGTTGTTACATCAGGTACTGAGAGCTATTGGCACCGTGTGCAAGCGCCAAGTCCTCTTGGAAAACGGAATCTGGCTCTCCATAAAATTGGTCAGCAACAGGAAGCATGAAGTGCTCTAAAATTTATTGGTAGACAGCTACGTTGAAGGTGGACTTCAAGAAACACAAAAGACCAACACCAGTACATGACATGGCACCCCAAACCATGACTGACTGTGGAAATTTGACACTGGACCTCAAGCAACGTGGATTCTGTGACTCCCCTCCCTTCACCACTGTGTGGAATGAATGTATGCATTACAGAAGTTCCACTTTTTGAAGAGCATGATTCAAATTTTTTGACGAGCATGTGCGTGTGTGTATGATAATCAACTCTCGTCATGGCTGTTACAGTGAATACACAAACACACACACACACACACACACGTTAAAAAAAAAATCAAACATCATCTTACCAAATTGGATTATTCACTTGAAGACGAACGGTCCTCTTCTTGACTGGTTTACAGAATCTGGCGCCTCGCTGCACCCTCGTCTTATGCTTGTTTCACCCGCCCAGATTCCTTTTACCTTCAAGCGAAAGAAAAGGGGGGAATAAGCGCTGTAAAATCCTCATGACGGTCACGGGTTAGAGGCTCGTGGATAAAGCCATTGAAGCGGCGTAATCACCATGAACCCCCTGCGGACGTGAATGAAACATGATTATCCACTCGTGAGACTGTGCTGTAGTCAGCTGGTGGCATTTTTTTGTGTGTGTTTTGTGCAGTCCTTCTCAAACTTTTAACACCAAATTGCACCTCAGAATAATAAATTAACACTCCAAATTTTAGCCTGATGAACAACATGAAAATACAGTAACATTAACAATGCACTTAAAAATAAAAAAACTGGGCCAAAAATAACGATAAAAATGTATTGCACATAAAAGCTCAATCAAGTTGAACCAACGTTACAGTTTAAAAACCAATTAGTTCTTAAAGATTAAATGTCAATGTACAGAACTGTGTTCAATACAACTGCACTGCAATTCGGCAGCGATTCTTCACGTACCACTAGAGAGAGCCAGTGTATCACTACTACAACTAGTACTGTACATGTACCAGAAGATCACTACTTTCCCACTTGTACACGTTGTTTCGAATAAAAATGATCCATTTATATTGGGTGGGCCATGAGTTTAGATACATAGGGGGAAAACATTTTAAAAAATATTTAGATGAGGTGGGGTAAAAGTTCCTCACAATCCTAATACAAATATACATATTTTTAAAATGTCTATATTTGAGTGGGCCATCCGTTTCCATTCATAAAGGTGGCAGAGGGAATCTAGAAATATGTACACAAACACTGAATTGTGAGTGTTTCCAAACTTTTGACTGGAACTGTATATATTTAATGATAACTATTTATTTGTACCTGTGAATCATATGTTTCCAAACATATAAGTGTTTTTAGGAAAACGCTTTTTTTGTACAGCAATAAGTCCCAATACATTTCCCCCCCAGATACCTTAAAAAGTAGTAACTGCTGAGAAACACAAAACAAATTAAAATGAAATGTATCAAAACTGTGGAAACGTTTTATTATTTTTTCTTTTTTGTTAGATTCCATTGCATTAAAATGAAGGCGACACAGTGATCGACTGGTTAGCAGGTCCGTTTCGCAGATGCAGTACTACTTTTATCCAGTAGGAGCCGCTGCTGAACAGAGGTTTCAATGTAAATAAAACCATAAAACTGCGACATGGCTGACTCGAAACGGTACAAATGAAATAGTCAAATGATTAAACAAATGTTCCAGTGAGGGCACGTTCAAAAAAGACTGGGTCCCGCTGTATTGCTCAGGCTGCACTACAGCGTCTATTCACAGGCGCGATCCCACTACTGAGCGGCACGGGGGCTTTGACCTGCTCCGTTTCCGACCTGGGCCGGTGCACCCCTCCTCAGGCGACCTGGTGGTCCCGAGCTCCCCCGGGAGCACCATATCGATACCGAACTTAGTGCGGACACCCGATCGACATAGTCCGCTGCAGCTCAGAGCTCCTGAGCTCAAGCGATCCGCCAGCCTCAGCCTCCCGGTAGCTTGGATTACAGGCGCGCGCCACCGCACCCGGCGAGAAGTACTGGTTCTCATTGGACTTTTGTCATTTACTAAGATGACGTAGTAGATGACGTAAACACCCGGAAGAGCTCAACAGCCCCATCGAGTGGCGACTGAAGGAATACAGCTGCGACGATCGAACTCTGGATGATGGATAAATATGTCCACTAATCGGAAAAAAAATTATTAGACCACCCTTGTTCGTTTAGTTTCGTGTTGATTTGAAATGTAACAATTAAAGTTACATTTGTTTGGTCAAATTTAATGATGGCAGCAAAAAAGCTTCTAAAAGTTTAAGAGTTGACATTTTTGCCATTTTCCATGTGTTTTTTTCCCAATAACCAAACTCATTTTACATCAATAGCTATGTCGCTGTATTGCCCAAACACCGCTTTTAGGCACTCTGTATTTCTTTTCTGTCTGTTGGCCACAACATACACTTTTAGTCATAGCAGACATTCAAATGACCAAAAAAAAAATGGAAGAAGAAAGCAAGATGGTCTAATATTTTCCCATGACTGTAGATAAATGAGTGATGATATATAGACAGGTGCATAGAAAAGTAGATTGCTCGGGAAGGAGGTGGCAGGATAGAGACCTGGATATACTGTAGAAGCCTCACAGCATAGTGGCGTAGTCACCTTCGAACATTTCCTGGAAACAAGGGAAAACAACATTTTTAGCAAGCACATTAGTATTTTAATTGATATTTTATTCAATGAGGAGAGAGTGGGTGAGAGAGAGATATGAGATGATCCATAACTGGATTAATGAAGAATTTGGTATCGATTGATAGATGTGTTGGTAGATAGATGGATAAATATGTTATTAGATAAAGAAACAGTTGTTTAGGTCACAGAAGGGTAGATAGATGTAGAGAGCGATGCAGGTAGACAGAGAAATAGATCGCGAGATGCATGGATAAATAGAGTGACTGGAAGACAAAAATAGATCCATTGACAAACAATAACCACCATTTTGTATTATTGTATTAATAAATGTATTAAAAGAAAAAGTAATCCTCCTGCTCCTTTTAATTAGCCAATTGAAGCAGATTCTGGATTGACGAAAATATAAGAAAAAATGTAAACTTGCCCTGATTCATTTCACAATTGAATCAGTGCTCTGGATCAAATAGACCAGTAAATAAAGAAAAAAATGTGCTAACTGGTTGGATCTCTACTAAATAACTGCATAAAACACACACACACACACACACACACACACACACACACATATACAGTATATACATATATAAATAAACTGAAGCGTAATGCATATTGATCTCCAATGATCTAGTGTGGTTTATATCTATCTCATATGTAGAGGGTTTCCGGAAAGTCACTGATTATTATTATACTATTACCAAAAGTGGCTGCACGGTGATCGACTGGTTTGCACGACCGCTTCACAGTGTGGAGGTGCAGGGTTTGATCCTCCGGCCTCCCTATGTGGAGTTTGCATGTTCGCCCTGGGCCTGCGTGGGTTTTCTCCGGGTACTCCGGTTTCCTCCCACATTCCAAAACCATGCATGGCACGTTAATGGGACACTCTAAATCGTCCCGAGATGTGATTGTGAGTGTGAATGGTTGTTTGTCAATGTGTGCCCTGCGATTGGCTAGCAACGAGCTCAGGATGTACCCCGCCGACTGCCCGATGACAGCTGGGATAGGCTCCAGCACGCCCGCGACCCTAATGAGGATAATCTGATGCGAAAATGGCTGGATAAATGGATGGATATTGCCAAAAGTATTTGCCCACTTGCTTTGACTCGTATGTGAACTTGAATGACTTCTCATTCTTAATCCATTAGCGTTTACCCCTCAGGGCGACGTTCGGACGGCGGGACGGAGAGGGAGCTCGAGTCTACTCCCCAGCTGCCATCGTACTGCTGCCGCTGCTCCTCCCCCTCCGCCGCCACCTCCACCTCCACCACCACCTCCTCCTCCTCCACCAGCGGAGCCACTTCTTTCTCATCACATCCTGGGGTAAATACGGCCAGATTGAAATCTATACACATACAAGGGGCTCCATCGTTACCCCGCGGAGGCCACCTCATCGTGTACACCAGGCGGCCCTTTGGATGGTCGGTCTCCGACACGGCCAGACTGGGGAAGCTCTCGGACGGTGATTTTGTGCTTTTCTACCCCCTTCAACGTTTCCTCCCTAGCGGTCGGGTCGGGGTTACGCTTCCTCCTGTGGCGAGAGACGCCAGGTTTTGTGTGGAGATGGGGATGCGACGTTGAAGGCCAGCGCCAAGCGAGCGAGGTGAAAACCCCAAGACAGCCACCCTAGCCTGGCCGAGAAATACGAGGCTAAGGCTGCTAGCTGGTTCCGATCCGGTGCTGTGAGGGATGCAACTTACGGCTAGATCTAGCCAGCTAGCGTAGCTACTATTCCTGTATGTTGCTAGCCGGCTAACCCCCCGAGTTACTTTTTTTCGGGCGCCGCTTGTATTATACCTCTAGTCGAACATTTAAGTCACAATAACTAACTTGTTACACATTGACAAGCGGCGTTAAGGTGAGATAATGCCTCTATTGTGGGCTCGGAGCGTCCCCCGGAAAAAGCCTTAATGTGACGGCGTAACAAAAGGCAGGAATTGAGACATGGTTTGGTGGATTGGCCATCCTTTCTTGTTTTGTTGTTAGCACGGACATGCTAAGCTAACTCGAGACACAGAGGGAGGATTCCGTTCACTTCTCGTTTATTAACATAATAGATGTGCGCTACTACGTTGCTGTAAGTTTGTATTTGGAGAAAGGCATCTCAGTGGGGCATACAGAAGGATGAAAACGCTTGTGATAGCTGCACCTTCTGGGCCAGACTTGCAAGTTACCAAGCAGGCTACCCTGGAAGGCCTCCACACACTGCTATACTGTAAAAAATAGCACTAATAATAACAACAAGAACATTCATATTACTATTCTAATAATGCCAGGTGTTTGTAAATGCGCACACAATTTTTAAAACACACCTTTCAATATAGAATACATCTGTACCTCCTAAATGACATTGTTACAAACTTGAATTTGGGCTTTATTACATTCAGTATTCTTAATAGACTGGACTTTTTAAATCTATTTAAGTATGTCGTCACTATCTGTTTATATAAAGTATAATATTACAAAGTGCTGTTTTTGCTTCATGTCAAAATGGATTCTGGGTCCTCTAAAAAATGTTAACGTAAATGTCTAATTCTCCCCAGCATTCTGGAGATGTGAGGAACGGGAAGCCCCTTGCTGATATCGAGCAGCATTTTGACCTCATCTTCAGTATGAATGGTGATATGCCTCATGTTCCCATCACTACTCTCGCCGGAATCGCAAGCCTCACGGACCGTAAGTGTGCTCCTGTTTCTTCCTAATTGAGGGTCTGTGGTATTTTTGTCAATGTACAGTGAAACCTCGCTGTTTGCGCATGTTAGAGACCAAACCCAAATTAGAAATGGATGCCTCGGCCCTAAAAATGTTTATTGTTTCGCATATTCATCATTTGAACCCAAAAGATATCCCAAACTATGATCCCAAAACAATTGAATATCATTTCACATTCATGTAAAACATGACCCTTAAAAGTTAATGGCTCACAGCTAATTTGATTTTGAAAAACATTGCGAAGACGCAGTGGGTCACCACTTGGCTACCTGTAACAATATCAATTCCTACTTTCCTATTGACCATATTATTTCATTTTATGACTCAGTGACTCCCAAACCTTTGAATGGTGTTTTCATGGAAAGCACGAACTTGTCCAGTTTACTCCAAATTTGTGAACTGTTGTGAACTTGTGTTGACCTCAAACAACAACTTATTACCATAGTAAGTCCTCATAAAAAATAAGACGAAAAAAGTATTTCATTTTATTGTTACATTATGCTCAGTTGGAACATTCGTACTGTGCGAAAGACAGCAAATAAAAACGATTGAAATAATGATTTGAATGTATCACACACAAAAGGAGAGTAAAAATTGTCCATCAAAGCGAAACAATTCTTAACTATGAATTTATTGGACTCAAAGTTAAATACAACAAAACTTGGGCAGTGATTCTTTAGCGTTTTTTCCACTGGTCTGTGTAGTCTGGGATCGCCATCAAATTTCCCAGTGCAAATCTGCCGTAATCATACCACATCCCCTGCATCTCTTACCTACACAGTGTTAAACCAACTTCCACTGCCCTCACCTCTCCCTGCTACCACTGCCAAGAGTCTGCTTTACAATGGACGAATCTCCGAAGAGGTCAGCAGCCTTTTGGTGTGTCGTGACGACAGCCTGGTAACTCAGCTGGCTCACGGCCTCAACCAGGTGTCAACAGAACACATGTGAGTATCTGCTGTCATAGGAGGCGGGCTGGTATTACTGGTTTGTGGAGGGGGATCGAATGTCAAATGTAACTGGGATGAAGCTGCGGTCGTACTTCCAGGGCAGAACACAAACATTCTCTGGTCAGAATTATATATGGAATTACAGTCGGCCACCACACACTTGCTGTTCACTATTTAGACATTTTATTAATTTAAAAAAAATAATAATATATATTTTTTTTTTGGGGGGGGGGCAGGTGGGGCTGCTCAAGGTGTTATCCCCCATTTCCCCTCTACTTTTCCATGGAAAGCGTGTATTGAATGTGTATCAGTTTTTAGAAAAAAAAATTGGGTTTTAAATGTGTCTTACACCGCTACAACTAGTTCATTGCATTATTCCTAACCTCAAAACTTTGTACACCAGGGTGAACCCCGCCTACTGCCCAAAATTAGCTGGCATAGGCCCCCGTCACTTCTGTTTTTGCTGGATGACGTATATGCTGAAACTAGACCGTTGCCAGTGGTTGTGTACATTGTGTGACTGTTGTGTTCTTTTTGTGTGATTCACAGAGACCTGAAGGACAACTTGGGGAACGATGAGCCCGAGGGTGACATGCCTGTGCTCCTACAAACTCTGCTGTCCAGAAACCCCAAAATCTTCCGGGACAAAAGTACGACCATGCAGTCGACAGTCATAAAATGTAGTGTGAAAATGAGGTGTTTTTACTCAAAATACCTTAGATTAATTGAAGACTCTAAATTTCCCATATATGTAAATTTGAATTGTTGTTTGTCTAAATTGGTCATGCGATTGGCTGGCGACCAGTCCAGGTTGTGCCCCACTTCTCTCGCCAAAGTTGCTTGACTTTCTTTTGTAGTTTTATTTTTATTTGTTCAATTTGGCGTGTAAATTTCCTAAGCCTTGGCATCGCGTGTATGTTGTCGCAAACTATTTTCCCTCCTATTTCCCTCAGGTGTGATCCAGCAACCAGCGGTACAACAGTACAAGATTTCTCCAAACCAGGTACACAGGAGTCCAGCATCAAATTATCAGCAGTCCCCAGTCACTCAGAGGACGTCTGGGTAAGGCAGCGGGAAAGTGGATATACCGCGGTCTATGTCTTTTTTTTTTCTTTTCTTTATTTTTCCTAAAATTACATTGCTTTACTTCACAGATGCTTCAGCTCGCCACAGTCCGGGCCCGGAGCTCGGTTCATATCACAGCAGCAGCATTCAAACAGCCCCATCCCCAGTCCCTATACTCCGCAGAGTCCTGCTGATTACATGCAATACAGTCCGCCCAGTTACTCTCAACACCAGCAGACGCAGCAAGGTGGCTCCCCCACTCCTCGTGAGAGCAGACACAGCGTATCGGTCAATAGGCATTACTCACTGGCAATGCCATTTGCTTTCTGTTTCAGTTGGCGGTATTAGGAATCTCCACAACAAGGTGTCAGGACAGCTATCGAGTAACGCATCCAATCATCATGCCAAACCAGGCTCGGATGGCGACTATGTCACCATTGCGCACAGACTTGGAAATGAGGTATAACAAAAACTGCTAAACGCGGACATTTAGGGAGTAGCCGAAAATGTTAAAACAACAACATTGAGGCCACCATGGAACAAAATTACACGACTTTGATCTCGTTGTGTAATCTTCAGAGCGGTGCTTAATAGTCTTTTGTAGACATTCATGCTATGAATGAAAAGAATTACAATAAACGTCTTGTATTTGATAGGAAAATGAGCACTCCATGATGGCTGCCTTGTTTCCGGTCAAGTCACCGCAGTCTGTGTGTTCCCCGGATGAGAGCGAGGAAGCATCGAAATGTACGTAACCATTACGTCTTTTGGTAACTGTCATTCAAGTGGGAAAATAAATTGACTCAATTACAATGCAAGGCATATTTTTCCGGAAAAATTCCAAAATGTACTTTGGAGGTTCCACTGTATCCTAAACCCAAAATGGTATATTAATGTGTCACTGTTTTATCTCTATTTTGGGTCATTCTGCTGTCTCTGTCTGTTTCACGAGATTTCCCGAGTCGTATTTTCCCAAAAACTGTGGGTCAAATTCCCATTTATTGTATACAAATTGTGGGGTTGCACTGTATCCTTTCACCAAACCTGTGTATTGATGTGCCGCGGTTTTGTCTGTGTTCTGAGCTTCTCCACTATCTCTTATGTGTCATTAGGGTCCAGACCTCTGCTCATCATGCAGTCACCTCCTTCTGACATCGCTCCTAGCGCAGCTCCCAACATGCTGCTGTCTTCCACTGAACGAAAAAAGAAGCCGAGGCAAAGGAACAAGGCGGGCGGTGATCACATGGAGAAAAACGCATTGTATGACATTGTGAGCTCTCCCGTGAAAGACTCTGCTAGGCTGACATTGAAGCTGTCCAGAGTGAAGAACGTAGACAAAGAACAGTACGAAGAGCATTCTCCCGGGACTGATGCGGAGCAACAAGCGTGCCTGACGAACAGTAAAAACCCCTTGCCGAACTCCGATCAGGACTCGCCATGCAAGTACGCCGCAGAGGAGTCACCACACTGTCAACGGGCGCCGTTCCAGCCAAACGACACCGCTGCCCTCTCTGCGGTGGTGCTGCTGGACGACACCGAGGCGGACATCGATGCTCTGGCGGAGATTGAGAGCACCGAGCGCGAGTCTGTCAGCGAGAGAGAGCGATGGTCCAAGGAAGTCCAGGATAAAGGTATTAGAATGTCATCAGAGCACCAACTTTTATGGACCCAATATAGAATCTTATCTGAATTAAATTCTGCCACAGTTTGTTGATAGGACCCATTGACAGGTCAAATAGTGGCGGCCCTCCCTGGTAAAGACGAATGTGCATAACGTTAAAGATGTAATCAGCGATGTTGTCTTTTTGCAGACAAACCGCTGAAGAAACGCAAGCAAGACTCATACCCTCAGGAACTGGGAGTCGACATAAATGACGGTTTCGCCGTACAGGGTGGCAATGCCGGCAACCAGATGACACCCAAGAAGAAAAACGCGGCGAGTAACGGTTCCGGTCGGCCCGCTCTGATGGTCAGCATCGATCTGCAGCAGGCCGGTCGAAGTTTACGGCAGCCCGTTGTGGTGCTGGAGGCCAAGCAACTGCGCGAAGAGCACATCGTGCAAGTCCCTTCCGAGACGGAAGCGGAGAAAAATAATGCCTGCCAATTGACTGATACCAAACCGCAGGTCGACGACTCCTGGAAGTTCAGCTTGGATATCTGTCCGAAGGAGAAGAAGGAAAGCCCGTGGGAGTCCAAACACAGACCCGACGGGGGAAAGTCGGACGCAAAGTGCGGAGACTCGCCGAGGCTGAAGCAGAATCGGGATTGGGAGTCTTGCCACAGGGAGGAAATGAACGACAACGGTCACTGTCAACCGGAGACTCTAAAAATCTCGAGCAAGGCGGAGCGGAATGCCTTTTGTCATAACGAAGACAAAAGCAGGGAGAAGAAGAGGACGAAAGATCATGCCACAGAAAAAGATAGGAGTAGGGAAAAAGATGGGGATAAAGACCAAGACGTGGATAAAGAAAAAGAGAGAGACAAGGATAAGATAAGAGATAAAAACAAAATTAGGCAAAAGGATATAGACAAGAATAGGGATAGAGACAGAGAGGAGGTGGGAATGGACAGAGTCAAAAATAGAGAAAAGGATAAGGACAGGGATAGGGAAAAGGAGAGAGATGTGGACAGAGTTAGAGATCGGGAGAAAGATCGAGTCAGCGTTAAGGATCTAGGTAAAGATCGGGTCAAGGAAAAGTACAGAGTTAAGGAGAAAAACAGGGAGAAAGTTCGATCTAAGGAGAAAGAGCGAGATAAGGAGCTAGGTATGGCTGACGATCGAGTCAAAGAGAAAGAGCGAGTTAAGGAGCCGGATAAGGAAAGAGATCGACTAAAGGAAAAAGAGCGAGCGAAGGAGCAAGATCGGGAAAAAGATCGATTAAAGGAAAAGGAGCCAGATAAGCAGAAGGATCGATTAAAGGTAAAAGAGCGAAATATGGAGACTGATAAGGAGAAAGATCGATTAAAGGAGAAAGAGCGAAATAAGGAGGCGGATAAGGAGAAAGATCGATTAAAGGAGAAAGAGCCGGACAAAGAGAAAGAGCGAAACAAGGAGCCAGATAAGGAGAAAAACAGATTAAAGGAAAAGGAGCGGGATAAGGAAAAGGACAAAAGTGTGGAGAAGGAGCGATATAGAGATAAAGGCCGGGAACGAGAGATGATTGAAGGGAAAGAGAGAGTCAGAGAAGACAAAGCCAGGAAACACAAAACGTCGATGGGTAACAGCAACCAATCTCTGGATGGGACGCCCCAACCGGAGAAGGATCACAAAATCCGGCAAGACGGGAGTAAACACTCCAGTGACCTCAGCGGTCGTGAAAGGACAGAAAAATCCAGTTTCCCGACCCCGCATAATAAAAAAGATAGGAAAGGCGGGGAAGACAGTAAAGAACTTTCCCACGTGAAAAAAATAAGCGAATTTCCATCATACTTGCTCGGGGGAAACTCGGGAGCACTGAAGAACTTTGTGATACCCAAAGTGAAACGGGACCCGGTCGATAAATTCCCCACGGTCTCGAACAACTTGGTTGATGTCTGGAAAGAACCTCGTGTTCTGCTGGAGAGGAGGTCGCTGATCGAAACCCTCAGCAGAGGCCCGAAACCCATTGTGGTGATGCGGCGACTGAGCGTGGATGACATACGAAGCATCAAGAAAGAACTCAAAGAAACCTACAAGTCGTGGAAGTTGTCTTCTAGCCACAAATCGAGAGGTATGGATTATCATGGATTTTGTCGGAGGGCGGCACGATGGGCGTGTGCTTAGCACATCAACTTCAAAGTTCCGAGGTTTGGGGTTTCGATCTCAGCCCCCCGACCTTCCTGTGTGGAGTGCGCATGTTCTTCATGTACTTGGGATGGCTTTACTTTGGCTTCCTCACACATGCCCAAAATGCTCAAGGTTAATTGGGGGCCCTCCTCTAAAACCAACTCATTTGGGATAGACCCCAGCTCACCCCTAATGAGAACAATCACAATTAAAAAAAATGGATGGATGGGTTTGTGGGAGGTTTGTATTATGGAATAATGACTATCATCGCTGTATGCTTATCATTTACGCACTTTTTGTCCTTACAGAGATGTCATTTGGTGCCAAGCGGGGGCACAGTATGATCAGTAAAACTCCCAAGTATATCGCTGACTTTGATGAAGAGGAGGAGGGAACCGATGATAACGATGACCACAGTCACAACTCGGACAATGAGGGTAATCCTTCCCTCTGCGACATTTGCACGTATACTTTTACGCTACGTTGACACTGCTGGGCGTGATGCCCGATTTCGATATTTTTTTATTTTTATTTTTTTGTGAACGCTGCATGAAAAAAATCAGACAACATTAAAACACAAAGATGAACATTTTTTTTGTATTGACTCTTACACTTAGACGAGACAAGGCAGCTTTATTTATGTAGCGCACACTGTACACAAGGTAGCTCAAAGTGCTTCACATCGTTAAAAAGACAACATTCAAAGGCATTTACAAACAAAAGAATTTCAAACATTTTAAAGCAACGGGAGAAAAAGCGCAGAAAGTAAAACTGTTTGCCAAGGCTAACCTGCATATCCACAAAAACTCACTGCAGCTCTGCTTACCTTTTAGCCTTGATGTAGTGTTTCACTCCTGTGTCCAGACTGCAAATGAATGGGGAAAAAATGTATAATTTACAATATCATAGAATTATTTTGTTGTTATTGTATGGAAGACAATGATGTTTTCTCTATTTTAGTGATGAGGAAAAGGCGAAGGAAAGATCAGGACAAGTCAAGGAAGTGTGAGTCAAAAAAAGGCCGACAACGTCAACAGGACTGGAACTCAGACGAATGCGTCGGTGGTCCGCCGCCAAATTTAAGTGATGGTGAGTTTCTTGTGCATGCTAAAATGTTTTGTTTATTTGGGTTTATTTTGGATGCTAAATGTATTCTTGTGGCTCTTTTTTTTTTTGTTCAGTGGCCAGAAAATTGAAGAAAAAACACAAAGAGAGAAAGGCGTATGAAAAGATGCGACCTGAGGGTATTTGTTTTTTAACAATCTTTCATGTATTTTGTTTGTTGTTATTGTTATTATTATTATTATTATTATTACTGTTCTTCTTTTTCTTCTTCTTCTTGTTATTGTTTTAATTGTTTTTATGGTTTGTGAATCTCATTTTTGGTGGATTCAGCATTCCTGTATCCTGGTTGAAAATGTATTTTTGGGTCCAAAAAACAACTTCCCAGTAGATTTCCCTGGGGGAAAAAATAACCCCTCCCCAGTTTGACCAATAGAGATGAAATTTGGTGAACTTGTCTTACATACCAGGACACACAAATAAAAGGTCTCATGGACCAATGCTTAAAATTGAACACTAAGTCGGTAATTTGGGTTTGAAGCAGGCATTTGGGGAAGATTTCCGTTCATCGCTGCGTGCGGCTTTAATTTTCTTGAGAGACAGTTGTCAAACATTTATGCCACAGATTTAATGGACACGTCCACGTTCAAGAGATTCGCAGCCAGCGTGGACAACATCCTGGAGAGTCTGGAGGATGTGGACCTTCCTGCGGCAGGTAAACAAGCCTCACTATTAGCCGTACGGTGAAACCCCGCGATTCCTCCTGTCCACCCCTCCTGACTGTCAATAAGTTGAAGTGAGTTGCGCAGCATCATTTGGACAAGTCCCTGTCATGTCTAATAGAAAAGTAGTGCTTTGGCACCATCTTGTGGCAGCTCTAGGCAATTTGAAGCCTTTTTATGGGGGAGTGCCGATTACTCAGATTTTTTTTTTCGTTGTTCGCTGCAGGACTGAGACCCTACACTGTACTTCTGCGCTGTAATGCAAAAGGATTAGCATAATTATATGTATTTTTTTTTCTATGTGCCATTTCCCAGATGACGACGGTGATGATGAAATACCACAGGAGCTGTTGCTCGGCAAGCACCAGCTGAGTGAGTTAGGCAACGATTCGGCGAAGATTAAAGATATGGGCATCTTTTATAAGGTAGGTGGAGTATGTCCCAGTGATGCTTGTTCTGATCTTCTTCACTTGAAACGTCTGAACACAACAGTTAATTTGCATTTGCTTCCTGTCCACAGTTTTCATCTCAGAAATTGGTGAAATTCATGAACGTCCTGGAGAAGAACATTCAGGACAGTGTCAAACTATCCACATTAATGAACCATGTAAGTTGTCAGGCTGATTTTATTAGTGTGCAGCATGGCATAAATTCCTGTGAACCGATTGAGGAAAAAACGTGAAAGAAAACGGATGAATGAATCACATTAACAGTACCGCTACTGTTTTTGTAACGACTTGTATTGAAGGGTAACGACTCCATGGACGAGGAACGGCTGTGGCGTGACCTCATCTTGGAGCGGGTGACAAAGTCGGCCGATGCCTGCCTGACGGCGCTCAACATCATGACTTCGCCGCGCGTGCCCAAAGTGGTTTTCATCGAAGACGTCATCGAGCGGGTTTTGCAGTACACCAAGTTCCACATGCAGAACTCCTTGTATCCCCAGTACGACCCCACCTACAGGGTGGATTCCCATGGAGGTCAGTCATACCCCTCATCGACACCGTTATCAGCCACTTGGCTATTTTGACCGATGCATTAAAAACTTGTTTAATATGTACTTGTACTTCCTTACCCAAGGTGCCGTGCATAATTCCAAAGGCAAGAAAGCAAAAAGCTCAGGCCATAAACAAAAAACAGTGCTTCAACTCTACGGCAAAGTGTGTGGCATCATCAGCAGTCTTTCTGAGCTGGTGGAGATCCAGCTGCTTACAGACACGACCATTCTGCAGGTGAGATTCGCCATCCGTGCTCATGTTTCCTTCACGAGAAAACTGTCTAATTATCAATGTCATCTGATTTGCACTTGATGCCCACTTCCTATGTTAGGTGTCCACCCTCGGGATCACGCCGTTTTTTGTGGAGAATGTCAGTGAGCTGCAGTTGTGTGCCATCGCATTGGTGACCGCGGTAAGTGTGATGTCTTACTCTCATTGGAGGGGGCCATTAAAAAGTTCGAAATAATATCCAGCATCCCTTTTTGCTCTTCTGCAGGTGTTCTCCCGCTACAGGAAGCACAGGCAGCTCATTCTTGAAGAGATCTTCAACTCAATGGCCAGGCTGCCGTCCAATAAACGCAACCTGAGGAACTTCAGGTGCACCACAGAATGAAGAGGACTCGAGTGAATGGCGATCCATCTCAATGATTCTTTCTTAATGCCTCTCACAGGTTAAACAGCAGCGATCATGGAGGCAGCAAGCATATCCAGATGGTCACTGCCTTGGTTCTACAGCTTATCCAGTGTGTGGTGCAGCTACCCTCTCCAAAGGATGGAGAAGATGAACACAATAGGAAGGTAGGCAGGAAGAAACATCTGAAATTGGATACAATTGTCTCAAATTGTATTTCATATCTCCCGCTATATTTGCTTTTCACAGGTGGACAAAGACGTCCTCATCACCAATTCCTATGAGACTGCCATGAGGACTGCTCAGAACTTCCTGTCAGTGTTTCTCAAGAAGTAAGTCCATGTCATACAAGTGTAAAAAGAAGTTATCAGCCATTGCTAACCATTGATCAGCCTTCGTGTTTAATGCCTGTGTCATAGTGATGCTGTGTAATAGCCAGTAATATTTCCTGGGTTAATTCCAACACACTACATTAACATTTTAACCTGATCACTGGATGTGGTTATGCCAGATGCGGCAGTAAGCAGGGAGAGGACGACTACAGGCCTCTATTTGAGAACTTTGTCCATGACCTCCTGTCCACTGTCAACAAACCCGAGTGGCCCGCTGCTGAATTGCTGCTCAGTTTGCTTGGTCGTCTCTTGGTAAGCGTTGTCATTTCCACTATTCATTTTGTGAAGGTCTTTTAAGGATTGTTGCTCTTTGTTGTGTGAAGCACATTAAGTTGCCCCGTGTATGAAATGTGCGATATAAAGAAAAGTTGCCTTGCCTGTATTTTTCGTTATCCCATCATCCAGGTGCACCAGTTTAGTAACAAGCAGACAGAGATGGCGCTCCGGGTGGCATCGCTGGATTACCTTGGCACCGTCGCTTCTCGCCTGCGTAAAGACACCGTCAATTGCAAGCTGGACCAAAAGGCCATTGAGCGCATTCTAAAAGAGGTAGTAAATAAACTCCACTGTCGCTCTTTAGGGTATTTTTGAGCCCAAAATTATGAAATCCGCAACCCTAAGTACTTTTTGATGTAGAAATTATAAATGCACAAGCGCAATTTATTTGCAGTCCTGACTATAAATGCAAGGGAATTTAACATTGGAAAAAGTCACAAAAAAACAAAAGAGTCGGACGACAGTCTGAATGCGTTCCATGAAAGCAGCAAACAAGAACAAATAACAACAAACAAATCATTCTCATTTTAAAAAGAATTACGAACCATTTGACGTGTTATCGTGGTTTCTTGGTAAACGTTCATTTTACCATTATCTTTGCAGTGTCCCGGTAACGATGAGACGCAGCAACTCCAGAGGGCCTTGTTGTGCTACATCGAGGAGAGCAGTGAAATTGATCCCGCTCTCGTTGTGAGCATGTGTCATTTTTTTCCCATTCTTTATTACGCTGAACTCATATAACTGGACACTCATTTCCGGCACTGTGCTTCACTCACACACAGTTTGCCAGGAATTTCTACATTGCCCAGTGGTACAGGGACATCACGAGCGAGGTGGACAAGGCAATGAAGTTGCACGATGACGACGACGACCCGAAAGGTTCATATGCCGCCAACAACGTTGACTCCACTGAGGAGATTGTGCAGAGGGCCGAATTGCGGAAAAAGTTCTTACGCAAGGTTATCAGAAACTCTTACACCAGGTAAAAAAAAGAATTCTTTATGGAGTAGTCATCCGAAAAAATTATTCCTCTTTTAAACGCTCTCCTATTTATTTCAGGATCAGCTCTGACGCAGTAGACTACAAGGACTCCTGTTTGATCGTCCAATACCTAGCCTCTATGAGGCCGTTCTCACAGAGTTTTGACATTTATTTATCACAGGTAAAATAGTCGTGTCACGTTATGCGGAGTAGACACACGAAAGTGAAATGAAATCATCATCATTATTATTATTATTATTATTATTATGAGACACCACACATGACAAAAAGAAAAAAAAATGCCATGTGTATGCTTTTATAACGTGTACTTACTGTACTCCACATGACCCACACAGCTCTATCTAAGTTCCTTACAAATTAAAGTTGATGTATAGAATGTGGCCACGGAGGATTGATTTTAATTGAGATTACGATTGTACTACTGTCAGGTCATGCTAACACCTGTTAAGAGCTTAGCTTCACTTGGCGTTCACCACAGATAAGGATTTGCCATTGTAAACAGTGATCTGGTTTAACATTTACAATTGTCGGCCTGACTTTTCAGAGCATAGTGACACCCTACACCACAGGGTCATCAGTTGGGATCATCTTTCAGACATCTGAAATTCACAGGATTTGGGGAAATACTCAAATTTGCTCCAATTGTCATTTTGTGTTCCCCATCGTAGCACAAATTTGGTATTGTGAAGCTCGTCGCTAACGGTTTTCTGTCATGTGTAGATCCTGAGAGTACTTGGTGAGAGTGCCATTGCAGTCAGAACGAAAGCCATGAAGTGTCTCTCTGAGGTTGTGGCTGTGGACCCGAGCATTCTCGCAAGGGTGAGACACTCCCATCATCTCGTTTTGCATATTTCTAACACCTCAGGGTCTTGCTTGTGAACTGACAAATTGTTTCCATTGTCTCGTTCTTCAGTCCGACATGCAGCGTGGTGTTCACGGCCGCCTCATGGACAACTCCACCAGTGTGCGCGAGGCCGCCGTGGAGCTCGTCGGACGCTTTGTGCTCAGTCGACCCGAGCTCATCGAGCAGTACTACGATATGCTCATCGAGAGGATATTGGTAATTCGTCTCCTTTTTTTTTTTGTTTTTTGTAGTTTTTATTCTTGCCCTGTCATCTCATTACAGAAGTGGTATGTTAATTCTCGGGCCACATAAAATGATGGTGGCCAGACATTGGGTTTAACACCTGCGTCCTGTATGATGCACATTTAGCTTACTACCTGGCTTCAACAAATCCACAAATATACCTTTTTGTCCCCAAAAGGACACGGGTATTAGCGTGAGGAAAAGAGTCATCAAGATCCTGAGGGATATTTGTCTGGAGTTGCCGGACTTCCACAAGATCACCGAGATGTGTGTCAAGATGATCCGAAGGGTCAACGACGAGGAGGGCATTAAGGTTGGTTTTAGTTTTCTTGCGGGAGCTTCATTCATTTTATTCAAATCAATTTCCACATGTTTATTTTGATCCTGCAGAAACTGGTGAATGAGACCTTCCAGAAAATCTGGTTCACACCCACACCCAGTCATGACAAAGATGCCATGATCAGAAAAATCCTCAACATCACAGATGTGGTGTGTAGTTGATTTAGCTGAGTAGGTGCAATTCTGTATGCATATGCATATTTATGATCTTGTACTTGCTTTTCATCCCAGGTGCTTGCGTGTAAAGATTCCGGCTACGATTGGTTTGAGCAGCTCCTCCAAAATGTAAGCTTTTTAATTGGGTGTGATTATCCATATCCGTAATTTATCGTTACTTCTTTTTAAATTGATTGTCCTTCACCGTTTTTTTTTTTTTTTTTAGCTCCTTAAATCAGAAGAAGCTGCTGCGTACAAACCAGCCAAGAAGGCCTGCAGTCAACTGGTGGACAATCTGGTGGAGCACATGGTGAAATATGAGGAGTCCATTGCAGGTAAACAGAAAAGTTGATTTGTTTGCTTCAAAAAGTTGAGCGTCACCAGCCAATTTCATTTTAACCATAAAAAACACATTTTGTGTACTTACTCCGTTTGTGCGCCTTAATTTCATGCTTCACGGCCCATTGACATTGCTCATAAGGGACTCAGTAAGCTGCAGTAATGTTAGTCGCTTTTTAAGAATTGTCTGTCTACATGTCTTGCTGCACCATTTGTTTTCAAATATTTGTCGCTTCAAGGGTTTTTTCGCAATCACAGCATTGATGTTTGTTTAGGTAGCTTAGCGTTTTCCATCACACGCACATTTTTTTTTAAATCCTAAACATGTATGTACTCTGTGTGTCTGCTTCAGACTGCGAGGACAAAGGCATCAACTCCGGTCGCCTGGTGGCGTGTGTCACCACGCTGTACCTGTTCAGCAAGATCAGGCCGCAACTGATGGTGAAACACGCCATTACCATGCAGCCTCACCTGACCACCAAGTGCAACGTGAGGACCAACCACTGCTGATTTATTGTAACACAGCGCCCACTAGAGGCAAGAATAACAACCGGCTCTGTACTGTTGCAGAATCAGAATGACCTCATCGTGATTTGCAACGTCGCCAAGATCCTGGAACTAGTGGTGCCTCTGATGGACAATCCCAGCGAGAATTTCCTCACCACCATAGAAGAAGACCTCATGAAGCTCATCATCAAATATGGAATGATGGTCTGTTTCATTCGCAACATTCTTGGTCTGAGTAAAGCTGGTCGTCATGTCAATTGTGTGCTTTGCTTCTCAGGTTGTGCAGCACTGTGTAAGCTGTCTCGGTGCTGTGGTAAACAAGGTCACACACAACTACAAGTTTGTTTGGGCTTGTTTCAATCGTTTCTATGGTAAGACTATTACCTGTAGCTTTAAAGGAGACATACAAAGCATTTTTTTTTTTTGTTGGTTTTTTTTACAATTTAAAATCGGGTATCTTAATAACAAGTCTGTCGTGCCCTTTGGTCAAAAGTGCCAAGGGTCAAAAATAAAAAAAATTAGCCACTTCTTAAAAACAATGCTGTGAGGTTTGGTATTATAAACAAAAAGTTATTTTTCATAAGTACAGTATGTCCCCTTTAAAGTTAACCCAAATGTGGCCACTGCGCTCATTCATCCGTAATGCTCTTGCTTTGCAGTTAGATAAACATGTAGATGTTTTTTTTTTCCTTCCTGGTTTCGTAGGTGCCCTGGCCAAACTCAAAACCCAGCACCAGGAGGACCCCAACAGTCCCACCTTGGTGACGAACAAGCCCACACTGCTGCGCTCGCTGTTCACGGTTGGTGCTTTGTGTCGACACTTTGACTTTGACCAAGAGGAGTTCAAGGGTGCCAGCAAGGTAGGGTTCATGCTTCACCATGCAGATTATTCAAAATCATCTTTTTTTGGCCAAGTATGTTAAAACACAAAGAATTTGTCTCTGTTTGTTGGAGACGCTCTATTGCTAAGGAGAACAAAAAAAGCCCGGATGACAAAACATTCATTTCGGACGTACAGACAAATGTTCAGAGTCAAGTCTTGACGCAATACAAGATACTAGAGAGTGTCTTTGGTGTCATCACAATCACTCAGACGTGAGGAAAATGTCGCAGACTAATGAAACTCTGAGTGGGAGCTTGACCAGTGTGCACTTCAACAGCATAACATCTTTTTGAAGTTCATTATAAAATGTCAACTTCTTTTGGGGTGAAATGGAGAAATCTTAATGGCACCATATAGCGTTTTATGACTCATTAGGTGCCCAGTAGTGCACAAATAATGATGAGTAACCTTTCCAACAACTGTTGTGTGTTCTAGCTCAGCATTAAGGACAAAGTCTTGGAACATCTTTTGTATTTTACCACTCACAAAGATGAGGAGGTCCAAGTCAAGGCCTTGATTGGTTTAGGTATATCAGCACAGTTTAACACACTACTGTCTATTTGTTTTCCCCTCAGTATTGACATGATTTCTGTCGCTTGTAGGCTTCCAGTTTATCATGCATCCCGAGCTGATGTTCGTGCAGGATGTGAAGATTCTCTACAGCACCACCCTGTCCGACGAACACAGTCTGGTCAATCTGAAGATCCAAGTGCTGAAAAACATGCAGACATATCTGCAGGAGGAGGACTCGCGAATGCAGGAGGCCGACCGTGACTGTGAGTTAAATCAATCCTTCATCAATTTACCGCTGGAATCCGTTCCATCGTCTCATCATGTTGACATCTTCATTTTTGTTGACTCAGGGAAGGAAAAGGCCAAACAGGAGGATCTGAAGGAGATGGGTGACATCTCATCGGGTATGAGCAGCTCCATCATTCAGATCTACCTGAGGCAGGTGCTGGACTCCTTCCTCCACACTCAGTCCACCGTGCGCCACTTTGCTTTGAGCGTGATCACGCTGACACTCAGCCAGGGGCTGATCCACCCTGTGCAGGTACTCACTCATTGGTAGTACTTTTTTTTTTTTCCTTTCAAAACGTAACCTGCTTTTATTGGCAGAAAATCATGTCTATTCATGAATGATGACTATCAGCAAATGTCTCTCTCTGTCTGTCTTGTCTACCGTAAAATGAAATTGCATTAAATATAAAGGTGAACTTGTATTGCTTTGTAGAAAAACACCACCATATTGTTATTTTTACATGAACATTGCAATGATTTTTCTAGTCGGGCCCTCTTGACATGAAACTAGATTTTATGTGATCCCTAAATCACCATGAGCTTGACACTTTTTTTTTTTTTAGTTTTATGTGATCCCTAAATAACCATGAGCTTGACATTTTTTTTTTTTAAGTGCGTGCCCTACCTGATTGCCATGGGAACCGACCCTGAGCCAACCATGAAGAACAAGGCTGATCAACAACTGGTGGATATTGACAAGAAATATTCAGGCTTCATCCATGTAAGTAAGCTCACGTAGTTTTTAAGCAATTGGAGAGGGTCTTTGGTTAGTGACACCACTGGCAATTATAATAGAGCATTCAAACTTCACACATGAGGACCTGAGTCAATATTCAAACTCATAAACTCTTATACTCAAATATGCTCAGCACTAGAGCAGGTGTTCCTTGACTAACGGTGATTTTGTCAACTGACAGATGAAAGCCGTAGCTGGGCTGAAATTGTCCTATCAGATCCAGCGGGCCATCGCCGGATCCACAGTCGTCATCCTCCGAGGCTTCCGTCAACACGACACCGACGTGGCCATGTGCTCTCATCTCTACACTTTGGTTCGGGGGAACCGCCAACATCGGCGAGCCTTCCTCATTTCTCTGCTCAACATGTTTGACGACAGCTCCGTAAGTATTATAAGAGTAATAAGAATTATACTGCTGGGTCGGGCTGTTTTTTTCCCACATTTTATTTCTGATTGTAATAGAGTTGTTCAACCTTCAATAAAAAGGAAATGACATGAGATTATTCAAAACAAGTTTTGATTTTGGGATTATTTTCTGCACCCTTCTGGGATTGGCTTTATGCTCAACCCAAACACAAACTTTTAAACTGTTTTCAGTCTATACAGTATAGAACATGTACAAAAATAAGTTAATGTAAAATGTGCGAATGGATTTTGTTTTGGCGGTGTCGACCAAACCCCCCAAAATACCGGTACTCTATGAATCAAATAATCTTCCAGACCGGCTGCTGGGTGTCTTTCAAGTTCAATGAATGGATGTTTTCTTTGGCCTCAGAAAACCGAGGTGAACTTGCTGACCCCCAAAAATACTCTATGAATCAAATAATCTTCCAGACCGGCTGTTGGGTGTCTTTCAAGTTCAATGAATGGATATTTTCTTTGGCCTCAGAAAACCGAGGTGAACTTGCTATTGGCTTTATGCTCAACCCAAACACAAACATTTAAACTGTTTTCAGTCTATACAGTATTGAACATGTACAAAAATAAGTTAATGTAAAATGTGCGAATGGATTTTGTTTTGGCGGTGTCGACCAAACCCCCCAAAATACCGGTACTCTATGAATCAAATAATCTTCCAGACCGGCTGCTGGGTGTCTTTCAAGTTCAATGAATGGATGTTTTCTTTGGCCTCAGAAAACCGAGGTGAAAATGCTTCTATTTGTGGCGGACAACTTGGCCTGCTTCCCATACCAAACGCAGGATGAGCCTCTTTTCATCATGCACCACGTGGACATCACTCTATCGGTCTCTGGGAGCAACCTGCTGCAGTCTTTTAAAGAGGTGAGAAGACTTTGTCCAGTTCAATGCACAGCCTTTTGCTGTACATTCATTTTTTTTAATACATTCAATCTAAATGTCCAGTCTTTATCATATGAAAACAGGATATTCTTTCAAATTGGCAGTGCGGAAATCACCGTAAGGTTTTATCCGTCAACCGTTTCTTCCCTACATTGCTCCTTTTATAGTCTTTAAGAAAAGGACCAATTCCACGACCGAAGAAGATAAAGAAGAAGAAGAAAAAAAAGAAGAAGAAAAAGCCTCGGAAGATCCGTGACAGCTCTGACGACAGTGAGGGGAGCAGCAGCCGATCCAGTAGCAGCAGCAGCAGCAGCAGTAGTAGTAGCAGCAGCAGCAGCAGCAGCGAGGAGGAAGAGGCGGAAAAGGCGCACGGGCAATCTGACTCCGACATGGATGACGAGAATGTGGTGATGGCCCGGCTCCCCGAGGACCCAAAGCCTTTGCTGGACTTCTCCCTGGCTTCGCAGGGAATCTTACTGCTGCTCATGCTCAAACAACACCTCAAGAATCTGTACGGCTTCTCAGACAGGTAGGCCAGCATTGGAATATTCCATGAAAAATTGGTAGTCAGGTTTGAAATAAAATAATAATAATATAGAAGATAACTATAGCAAAGACAAGAGCGGAAAGTTTTGAGTCCTGAATAAAATGAAATGAAAATAGTTGTTTGTCAACCGCTTCGTGTGTTATTTATGAACGGCTGATTTATTTTATTTTTTTAATCCGACAGCAAAATACAGAAATACTCACCAACGGAATCGGCCAAGGTGTACGACAAGACGGTGAACAGGAAATCCAAGGTGCACTTCAACCCCCGCCAGACTCTAGACTTTCTGAAGGTCGGTCTGTCCAGCTCAGACATCAGTCATGAGACCAGGAAGGCTATCGTCAAACAGTACTTACACGTAAGAATTTGTTTCAGAGAATTCATTCTCTCCTTGTGGTTCAATCGAGTCATTCAATCTACATTACCGTCACAGTTCAAAGTACTAATGGAGCACCTGGACCGTGAGGAAGAGGAAGAGGAGGGCGAGGCCAGCGCCAACGCCAGAAACAAAGCAATTACCTCACTGCTCCAGGGCCCCAAACCCCGAAACCACAATCACAACAATCACACGGCGCCAATCGAGTCCGAGGACGAGGAGAGTGAGGATGAAGACCGCCCGGCGGTAAGGAAATATATTTTATATCCTGTATTATCTGAGATCTTATGTACTGTCTGATTTTGGGGGTTTTCTCTAGATATGAAGACATTTGGAAATATGTACACACACACACATATATATATATATATAACACACACACACACACACACACACAACAACAGCTTCCTTTTACTCACAGCAGAAGTCGCGACGAGGTGACGACTTGGCGGAGGATTCCGGCCACATGAACGAGAGCGTGGACGTGACGGACGTGGTGGCCATCTGCTGTCCCAAATACAAAGACAGGCCGCAGATCGCCAGGGTGGTGCAGAAGACCAAAAGCGGCTACAGCGTGCACTGGATGTGCGGGTCCTACTCCGGACCCTGGGCCGTGGCCAAGAAACGGGACGGTCGCAAAAAGGTGCCTTGGTTGGACAACATCAAGGAGTCGGACATTATTTATAAGAAAATCTCCTTAACGAGCGGACACAAGCTGACACACAAAGTGGCACAGACGTTACGAGCGCTATACGCCGCCAAGGACGGGACTAAGCATTAGACAACACTCTGGCAAACCCACATGGATCCAGTATGTTACAGAGAAACATTCAAAGCTCTTTCTATTTAAGGACCTAATAGACCAAGTTGAAGTTAACAGACCAGAAGGAAATGTTTCGAAAAACATTGGGTGGGAGCTCCTTCGCTGTTGTGCAGCAACCCGATTCATTTTTACTCCCGCTGACTGTATTATAGTTGAACTAAAAAAAATGTTTATATCTGAAAATAATTCTGTAAAAAAAAGTTAAAAAAAGAAAAAAAGAAAGTGAATGTTGGAAATTAGTGTATTGACGTTCTTAATAAAGTGTTTTTTGGACTTACTATAGCATGGAAGGGATTCATTCACCTTGCACTTGTTTATAAAGAAAGATATTGCAATTATAGAACACAACACTATTTTCACAACACTATTCATGTTTGTCCTCAATGGGATCACGGGTGAGTTGGAGCCTATCCCAGCTGACTTTTGGTGTGAGAGGCGGGGTACAGTATGGACTGGTCACCAGTTAATCACAGCACATTTCAACATACAAGCCTCCACATGCATTCACGCCAATGGACAATTTAGAGTCAAGAAGCTAAAATGAAACACCGAACTACGGGCAGACAAGCAAACCACTGTGTGTCCAAAATACAAAAATGATTGAGAATGGCGGCACGGTGAACGACTGGTTAGCACATTCGCCTCACAGTGCAGAGGTGCAGGGTTCGATTCCGGCTCCAGCCTTCCTGTGTGGAGCTTGCATGTGCCTGTGTGGGTTTTCTCCGGTTACTCCAGTTTCCTCCCACACTCCGAAAACCATGAATGGCAGGTTAAAGGAATACTCTAAATTGGCTGGCAACCTGAAGACAGCTGGGAAAGGCTCCCGCACGCCCGCGAGCCTTGTGAGGATAAGCTGAATAAAAAAAAAAAATAAAAAAAATGGAAGGATTGACTG